GTAACATTCATTTATTTACTCGACGGCGGTCGTAAGGATGAAAGTTTTAGCTCGATGCCTCGTACGCAGTTGTAGCGACTCTCTTATGGGGTACGATAGTTGGATCTCTCTTCGGCACCTTTTTAGTGATATTGGGCGTTGGATCACTGGCCTAATTCCGTTGTCTCCTGCGTCGTCACAAGCAATCATCATCGGTAGTTGACGTGGTACACGGCGTTCTGTTGCCACCGCCATCATTAACACCGAATTTAGCTACCACAGGGGTCTACACGCCTGCCCTGGATTTGCATGTACCCACCTACCCGAAGTCCGTATCAAAGCCTTGAGTGTCGTCTTCAGTGCTCAGTGTAGCCCCTTCCATTATTTTTTGCAACAATTCCCAAGCCAGAATCGATGACATGGTGAATTTTTGCTTTTGAACACTGTCTGGTGGTCATGGAACGTTCTGTAAGCCTGTAACATGAAGCACTGTAATGATCAGTCTCTTTCTTTTGGCAGTTATTTCAAGAGGAACAGCGCAAGGCTGTCTTAATCCCTCATCCTCTTCATTCCTGTTCACTAACTCTCCCTTTCCAAGCTGTGATGATGTCTCGGTAATTATGTGTCACGAGTTTTTTGCGTTGGAACATAATATTGTACACATTTATTAACCTTTGTTTGAAATGCAAAGAAATATGTAAGGTTAAGCGGACTAGTGGAGAGAACTATTCATTTCCTTGTTGATCGATGTGAGCGAAGTGTATGAGCTAAGGCAACACATTTTAATCTGAGGTACTGCCATCTCTGGTATCCATGAGTGGAATATTTGAGTTCAAAGTCCTTTTAATTCAGAGGAACTCTCTAGCATAAGTAAATGCAAGATCTGAAAGAAGGTTATCATAGACGGCTTAACTAAGACACCGGTTTGCGAGCAATCCGATAATTGTTGCGATGTTGCTTTTGCGTTGCTGCAAGTGTGATGGGAAGCCATGGCGGCGGCAGAGCGTGAGGTAGAGTGAAACAGGGCAGAGCGGAGCTATCTCTTTCTCCCACTAGTGCTTACATATACCGTCATTTGGTCTCTTTCTTCTCTTAGTTTATTTCGGCTATATCCTTGTTTTCTGTACGTGTGACTTTGCTGACCTTTAGTTCCGACACGTTTGTTCGTCTCAACTCCATCTACAATGTCTTCCAACTGCAATTGCTTTTGCTTTGGAGTTTTGTTATTTTTATTATTTTCTTCATAATTCCAGCGCAATAACGCTCTTTAAGCTTTGTCGTTTCTCTCTTCAATCCATCCTAACTTCATTGCTTTTTGCGTAGGGTAAATCCTTGTTGCCAGGTGCTCGGTGGGAGGTAGGGGCAAATATGTACGGTTTCGTCTCTTTCTTGTCTGCATTACCAAAATAATGGGCTTCAGAACTTATGCTATTTTCCTTTGGTATATGTGTAATGCATTCTTCTTGTACATCATGGCTACAACGGCTTGGAAGGTGGGAAAGGGAAATGTGCGGACCTTGGTTTTTCACCCCACTAGTGCTTCATGACCTGGCATTGTGTCCTCTCTGGCAGTGTTCTGCATTGCTTTTGCAAGGCAGTTTCTCCTTATGGCAATATAGAGTGGGACCATGACGACAAATACTGAGTGAGATTAAGGAATAGAGAATTGCCTCGTTCTCTTGTTTTCTATTCCTTTAGTGGCAAAACCGATGGGCATGGGAGCTTTTGCTCGTTTACTGTAGGTCTTGTGTGAAGCAGCTCGCATGATGCTCTGGCACGTTTCCTGTTGTGCAAATTCGGCAAGATTTCTGTGGATTCTTTCCTATTCTCCTCCTCAAGTATTTGCATTTGCTTATTTGTGCACTGCTTTGCCTTTTTTGCTTGGTAGAGCACAATGTCCACGAGTTACGCCTCCCATCACGCCTGCTCTCTCATTGCGAGCAAATCCGCTGGAGTTAGTGCTTGACCTCATCAGGGCCTCATGGAGCTGCCTTTGCCTCTGTGAAGTTGCTCTCGGTGAAGTGCACGACTGTTTCGTTGCCACGGCAGCCGCAAAGGTAGCTCTGTCCTCTTTTTGTGCTGATGTTTTTTTTCGAGAGATTTGTAAATCCTCCTTTGCGAGTGTGAATTCTTAAGTATTACATGCCACATGTTCCAGCTTTTGCAGTTTTTTTTTCAAATGCCTCTGCGTAAGCGCCTGTGAACGTGATCTTTTATTGCTCTGATTTGCTGAAATGCATTACTTGTTAAGGTATTCAATTTTAAATCCATATCGTATTTGGTTGTCATGCTTTTCATAAATTTGTCCAAGGCATTGTTGACAGAAAATCTATTTTTGCAGACAAGTAGATTTAAACACTAAAAGCTTTGCATGGTTTTGTTGGTGATTCCTATCATCTGTCTTGTAAGTGTTTGATCCAAATTAATAAGTAGAATTTGGTTTCAAGAAAGTTCTTGAATTTCCCCAACACGAGAAACTGCTTTCCTGTAAAATCCGTCTCACGCTAAATGCATATTGTAGCTACTGCCACCTTTCGTCAAACCAACCTCTTCCAGCAACCAAAGAACTGTTGTGATGTATTGCGGCTGTATGAAAATGGTACTGGTGACTTTGTTAAAATATTTTGCTTTTTTTTTCGCAGATGTAGGCACAGCTTCTCTTAACGTGGCGTCAAACTATAAGCAGCCGGAGACCGGTGTTGTCCACCCTATTGACCAGCTAGTGGACTTTGCGGGGATAGACAGCGACCTGTGCAATGCGTACTCGGCGCACGGCACAGGTCAAATCAAACAGCTTTTCCTCGTCTGGATCAACTTGCAGATCACTTCCTAGCGATTGTGATGGATGTGAACAAGATATTATTTCTCACTATTAACATAGTAAATACCACCAACAATAAATTTGCCACAATCAGTCAATGTTGTCTTCGCGATCATTGGAAGTGGATTCCATCTTGTTCAAGGATGCTGTGCGGGCAAATGCTCACGTGCCCACATACCGGTGCCAGTTATTCACTGGATCTGCAAAACGCCAGGAACCGTAGTTAATTGCAACTGCATTGATGTAATGAGAAATACAGTTGGCTAATCGACTGGGCAGCAGAAGTTCCTGTGCTTTCCACCTGTTGGAACTGGTAGGAATATGTAGAGCGCATCCAAGTGCCCTTCAGTGTGAGGCACTCGCTACTGTGCTTTGTGCTACTCACACATCTTGAGGTTCTAGTATT